ATTATATGAAATAAATTAGGTTTTAGCCAATCAATCAGATAGCTCAATTTACATACTTTTACCAACTAATATTTATTAATTATCGACCTAATCATAGTAAAATTCTTTAAAAAAAAAATAGTTGTTTCTTAAATACTTACTAACAATTCATAAGTAATAAATAAATTTATTGTACCTAAGTATCATTTTTATCTATTGTGTAGTTTGTATCTGCATACACCTATTTTTTCTGAGATTTACTAATGCAAATAGGTATTACTATTTAACATTAAAAAATAAAAATAAATATTTATACTATTCATAGGTCAAAGATTCAAAAAATCATATATTGGCACAGAAAGAAGATATAACTTCTGGAAAGTTTACTCTTAGTGTAGAAAATAATGATATATTTGAAATATGTTTTACTTCAAAAGTCTTAAATAGTAAGTATGAACAAAAGAAATTTTGAAGATAGAATTAAATTAATTAATACCTTTTTTTTTGTTTCATGTTTTTCAGATGAATGTAAGTTATAATTTGTGACTTGATTGATRAATATATATTTTGGATATTTTATTACGATGCACAAAGAAAAAATATGGTTCATATAAGTTTTTAGATCATACGTTATATATTTACCTATAAATGCTGTATAGTTACTTAACAAATGCAACAATGTTATTTCATCATATGGATTGTAAATTTAGTATTATAATTTACAGATCATCAAGGTGCTGTACAAGAAGTTTTTGTGGACATAAAAACAGGAGTAGAAGCTAAAAACTATGAAGGGGCAAGTTTTTTCTTGTATAATATAATTAGCTGTATTATTTGATTCCGCTCAGGTTAAAATTAATATATTTATCTATCATTTGAATTTTTGGATCTAGATGTCTTTCTTTAGACGTACCTGTTAGAATTTTAGTGATTTCTATGTCACTTGAGACTTTGAGAGTGAATTATTGTTTATCTTGTCCTGTTGCTCAATTTTGGTGGATTTTAATTGAAATTCGCTATATTTATTCCAAAATTCCATTATATTACATACAGAAAAAATTATATCAATCATAATAATTATTTTATACTCAAATCAAGTGCAATTGTATATAATGTGGATTTACCTTTAGATTTTAGAAGGGAAAAAACTTTTATGATATGATAAATTTATATTTTTGTGTAACTTTTTAAAATTGTTTAGTTTTTAAAAAATATCTAATTATCTATTTATTATAAATGTTTATAAATTATATATTATTAAGTTATTAAGTACCTATGCAATATTTTTTTTATTAGATACAATTTCCCAACTACTTTTTCTTGTATAATAATGTTTATGATTGTCTTTATTTATTAATTGTAATGATAGGTTGCTGAGGCTTTTAAATTAAAACCCCTTGAGATGGATCTAAAGCGTTTGGAAGACTATTCAGAAGCTATTGTATTAGAATTCAAGGATATGAAAATGCGAGCTGATGAAATGCGTAACACAAATGGTTAGTTCTTATTACAATATTTAAGATATTATCTATTTAAAATTTAAAATTTTATTTATTTCAGAATCTACAAACAAAAGAGTCTTCTATTTTAGTTTGTTTAGTATGATTTGTTTGATTACGTTAGCAACTTGGCAAGTCTTTTATTTGAGGCGTTACTTCAAAGCAAAAAAATTAATCGAATAAGGTTTGAAGACATCAGAAAAATAAAAATTAATAATACATTTGACTGTCATAATTTAAATGCCATATTTAAATACATTTATTATTTAATTCATTAAAAGTAGTTAAATGTACCTCATATTAAAAATAGATATTAGGATTTTGAATCTATTCATAGTTTTGTCCAATTCTCATTAGTTCCAATTATTTTAGCTTAATATTTAAATTTGCTAATGAAAAAACATTTTACTAACCAACAGTAATTAATGAAACTGATTGGTTTATGCTAAAAATAACTAATAATTCTAGGTATAGACTAATACCAAAATTGGATAAAACTGTAATGGATCTAACTCTCATCAACTATATTATAATGAAATAACCTAAATATTTAAGTATTGTCATATTGTTATTTCTAGTCTTTTCCTATAATATTCAAGTAAATTGACTGTTTTTATGTTATTATTCAAATTATTATTATAATAAGAAAATATATTCAATTATATTCATTATGATAATAAAATATTTCTTGATACATATATTTTGTCAATAAACTTAAACTATTGTGGTGTTTAAAAAAATACATGTTTTTAATACATACATTTATCAGACAAATATATATAGAGATAGAATTATTAACATAGTACAAAAAATAGTATTTGATATGACTTTAAAGATTCCAGAAACATAATTTTATTTTTATTTTCACCCCCATAGTGTGGTTTATAATTATGATAAATTATTTAGTTACTTATATAACATGAAACATACAAAAAAAAAATAATTCAAGAATAAAAATAATTCACATATTATATTGTAATACAAAGTGGTTCAATTTTAAAAATGAAAGAAATTTCCAACAAATATAACTTTCTAACACACAGAGTGCCTCGGTTGACATTAGTAGCATTGCTTCCACGACAGCGTCTAGAAATTGTATAGTCATAAAGATTTTGTTTGGGTACAAGGCAACCCTTCTATATTGATACGTGGTTATATTGGTTATTTTAGCATTGCCTTGATGACAGACATTAGCATACTTACAGGCCGATTTGAAGCTGCTATACAAGCAACTCATGTCAGTTACTACGAGGCACTCATTGTGTTAATTTAAATATCTTATTTTAGGAACAAAAATATTCATTTTTGGATATTATAATTATAAAATTGTTCGCGCTTTTATTAAATTACACAGTTAAAAGAGTTATAAAATTAACTTAAAATTATCTTTACTTGGTATAAGTATAATATTATTAGAAAGTTGTCGTCTACTTATTTTTATAAAAATCATTACATAAATTATACAGTTATCATCTAATTGAACTTTTCATTAATATCTAATGATWTTTTTTTCTGTTGAATAATGATCGAAAAGAAATAGTTATTAAGTTGAAAAGCATACCTTAAGTTTTAATCGATACATTTTGCTTATAACGATAATAATAGATTTACAATTTTAATTGAATGATTAGTGGTAAATATGCCTAAAAACATATGTGTTTGGCTTCTGATGARCTTTGTTCCATTGGGCAATATGGGCACTTCAACCTAAAAACAACAATTATATCAAAATCGCTACATATACTATGCTTATGTTTAAAGAAATTGATCTTACTTAGTTGAGGTTCCTAATTTATGTAAAGCATCTTTGGATATAATATGGCCACAAATAAGTCTCATAGGAGGGTTGGTATCTGAACTTTGTTGTCTGAGAATAGGACATGCAAACATTGAATGATATCTATGCTCCGAGTCTAAGTCAATTTCAATCTAATTATCAAGGCATATATTTATTAGTATTATAGATCAATGATTTCATCAATTAATAACTTATTAACTTATAAATCTACTTACAGGCAATTCATCTTTTCCTTTCCAAATATCATTCACTTTCCGCTGTGTCATTACGTGTTTGATATTTAAAAGTGCAGGGAGAGCTGCACAACCAGCATTAACACTTGAAAATTGAAAAAATTATTAGATATTTTTTTACATAAAATATATCTTTATTTGTTATAACATTTTTATTTTAATATAAATATGAAATGTTATTAAATAATATATAATATAATATAATACCAATGCACTTTTTTGTAGTACAGATTACTTTGCCTTGATTTATAATAGGAAAAATATACAAGGTGTAACAGATAGAACTGACTTTTGGAATAATTTTTGTTCAAATTAATATTTTTTATTTATTTTTTTAGTTCATTAAATGATTCTAGGACTGCATGCTTAATATATTTGTTTATGTTTATTTTTTAATACTGAAAATAAACAATTTTAATTAAATAAACAATTTTTTTGGATAAATTTTAAATAGCCTATTTTTGAATCTGATTATAAGAACGACTTTGATGGTAAAAAGATKTATCTAAGTCAGAAGTTTATTTTTTAGAATTGTTTTAAAATTCAGTTCCGTCTGCTACACCCTGAGTAAATATATATATATATATATATCATTGGAAAAATACTCTAGGTACAGTCAAGTAGACGWGTACAAAAAAATGTGTAGGTTCTCCTTAAAGTAGATCAAATTTGAATATAGGAATACAACTGTAGCTTGCCATTTGTCAAGAAAAAAAATGTTCCTGAGCAAAGTCAAGTTAAACAAAATATAAAAAGCAGTAATCTAACAATTAATAAATGTATAAACAATAAATAGTTAATTTTTATTTATTTGTGTTATTCAAATGTACACCAAAAAGTTATGAAATCTACTCATTAATATAAAGAACAAAATACTTRTTTTTCAATTTAAAACATTTGTATAATTAAATAAAATGAGAAGAAAAAATAATGCCAATAGCAACTGGAAAGTATTTCATGTTTTTAATCAATGGAACCATTGGAWCCTTTTCTTATGTTAACTTACATCTTATTAAAGAGGGAAAATTATAAACATGATAATACATTCTAATTACAAATCAGTTAATAATTTTAGTTTCAAGTTCTATTAAATTAAGCACTCAAGCCTGACACGTAGTTACGCCTATGATGATGATGAGAGGTGAGCAAGTCAACATACATTTAAAAGTAATCTAAATGTGAATATTATATCTTTGCCAAAACTTTTAAAGAAATTTTCTTGGATGTTATAAAAATATCACTTAAATTTCAAGAAACTCCAGGCTTCTGCAGTATAGTTTAAGAGACAATTAATAAGAGTATCTTAATTTTACAGTTGAAACGGTTTTAATTTAATTCATAAATTTTAAGCTAAGCTGTAGCTTTCAAATACTAAAAAAATAGTTCGATATAAAGTAAAATCGCCACATTCAATATCACTTTCATTTAGCCACCAAAAAATTGGGTTAAAACTGAATTATATAAATTTTAGCTAATTTTCAGAGTAAGAAAGCCATATTTACTTTATGACMGTATATGTGTTTTAATTTATACAATTAATCACTGAAATCACTATTCAACAYAGCCTTATTTCAATTTGAGGCATTCTTGCGCTAAATAAAAACTAATTATAATATTTACGTAAGTACATATCATTATGGTAGTTATATTAAGAAATATATTTTTATAAGAGGATGTCAGTTATTAATTATTTTTGCTCTCTGACTCTCACACAATATAGAAAATTTATATTTAGCACAAAGATTCTTAACCTTTTCTGGTCCATTGGACCCCTTTGAAGTATAAAATATAATCACGGACCCCCCAATATATTTAAATAAATGTAAAAATGAAATTTTTATTTTTATTATTTTTTAATGATAAATCTAATACATAATACTACTAATAACGAAATCTATATTAGATTATTATGAATAATCACTTTCTTATAGTCAAATACAATTTCTAATGTGACATCTGTTGTTGTTTTGATTGCAATATTGCCTTGAAATCTGGGACCGTATTGGACAGAGCAAYGCGCATATCATCCTTAATGTCCAATGTTAGTGAACATATCAGAAATCCTAGAGTTAATAGTATCATTTGATAAAGGTATAGCTTCAATTTTTTTTCATTGTTCCAAACTACATACTAATTCTACCATTTCTAATGCACATGGTTTTATTAGTGACTCGCCAATTGTATGTGGTTTTTTACTTCTAGCAATGCGGTAAGCTACTTTGTAAGATGCTTCSAGACACGGTTTTTGCAGAGGTACAAATCCAAGTTTGGGTAATGTACCTGCATTTTCAAAACGTGCTTTTTTTATTTGAAATTCTTCCAGACTATCTGACGCATGTTGAGGATGTACCGAAGCAAGATGATCTTTAAGCTTTGTTGGTTTCATGCTGCCATTTGCAAGTATTTTTCCGCAGATAAAACATTGTGGTTTTTGTGTACCATTGCGTTCGGTAATAGATGTAAAACCAAACGACATATAAGAGTCATCGTACTTTCTTTTTTTCGACATTGTAATAATTATTAAAATGTAAAAAATATAAAAATAAAATGGTGTGAAAACTAGAGTGAATATTATAACAATGGTTGAGTCGGACAATGCACAACGTGACGGCGACAGGTCAACTGAAGTGATGGGTATTGGGTTTCCATGTTCAATTGAAATGCTCGTTAGATTGTATTGTTATATGCCCGTATATTATTTTACGATTCCGATAACTTTATCTCGTTTATATGACATAATATAAGATTATCGTAATCTAAATTATTTTTCATATGGCAGAATGCGAGCAAGACATTTTTATTGTTATTTTAAAAACACTATCAAAACAAATTTAGTTTTGGGTTTTTAAAAAAAAAATTCACAGCCACTCCGTGGACCCCCGAGTAATCATCTACGGACCCCCGGTTAAGAACCTATGATTTAGCAGAACCAACGCTGTGTTATTACTTTATTTGGGGACACAGGTAACGTTCTTAGGTTAAAGTTAGAAAATAGATGCATTCACTTTAATATTAAAAGTAATAACTCTTGGTTGGTTCTGTTAACACGTTGACTGCCATGCAGCCGCCGGCGGCCTCAAGAATATTTATCATGGGTACGCCAAAGACATTTTTCAGTGTCATTATAAATTTTTAATTGTACTATTGAATTTGAAAAAAAAAAATTAAAAATACAAAAAAAAATGTTAAAATTATGTTTATTGCATAAAAAAAAATTGCAATTATTCCCACTACGCCACAGCATATTTCAAGATCATTATTGTAGTGCCACGGAAAAGTTAATAATATAAATCCAAATTAATTTACGGCAGCCCGCGGCTGTATGGCCTCCTACGAATGATATGGTGCGGCAGCCGGCGGTCTAAAAATTATCAATACCTAATTATTATTATACGGACGCCGGCAGCCGTATGGCAGTCAATGTGGTAAACATAAAATTGGTAAGTTGCGCTTAAGACAGGGAAATAAAACCAATGGTGTGCTGACATCATCTTAAAAGCGGAAGTTCTCATACTTTTTGATTCACTATATTCTCTAAGGCAGTAATCTTAAACCTATGGCTGCAAGAAACATTTATTTCCTTAAATATTTTTAAAATAAAAATAAGTTATCATTTAACAAAAAATCAATATGTAGGTAGATATTATGTAATACAGGATTAAACACAGTTATATTATAACAATTATAGTTAATAGAAGAAATCAATATTATTTTAACTTATTTCGGATTTAATGTTAAGAGTTAAAATAAGGTGCTTTAGCCCCTAAACTTTTGATGTGTTAATATTTGGCGGTTTGAGACCACTGCTATAAGCAATCAATAATTAATTTGTAAATAACAGAAAACTAGATTACTACATATGTATAAAATAAAATAATTATACAAGTATTTTAATCATGTACCGAGAGTTAATCAAATCTTTGGAGTTTTAAGTATCAGATTCTAAAATTCCTGAGTTCTAAGAGCATATATTTGATTCATAAAATATAATTTCAAACAGTCAAATATAAAACAATTTCATAAGCCTAAAAATTCAATGTATAGGATCAATAATCAAATTCAATATCTTAAATGCTCAAATAAACTTATAATAATTAATAAAAAAAAAAGTTTAATAAGGTTCTTTTGAAATAGCCACAGAAATGTCAATATTGATAACAATGAACATAGTATAATAAAATAATTCATACTTAAAAATTATCAACAAGATAATATTTAATTTTTGAAAACAATAATTGCTTTTAATTTAAAAAAAAAAAAAATAGGGAGTAATATTTAAATACATTACAACCTAATCAATGTAAATCATATATAAAAAAGGCTGTTAATTTTTTTTTTCACTGGTTTTTAACAACGGATGCAATTTTGAAAGCTAGAGAACAATTTCTAGATTCCTAATATGGCTAAARTATTAATTGGTTGCCACTGTTACAGATGAAAAAATTATTTAATTTAAATATAGTACCTGACATTCAGTAAGCTATCAAAACTTAATCCGAGTAAAGTACAAGCATCCCTCGTAAATAATTCAATTACTTCATCCCACATATTTTCTTGAACCATATCTGAGTATGGTGATTTATTGATACCTTGTGGAATAAACAATAGCATACCCATCATAGTTTGAATTTCTGTAGAAAAAAAATTAATACATCTTTTTCTTGTTAAAGAAATTAAACGACTAACCTTTTTCATATTTGTCAACAAATGGACTAAAATTAGCTCGGGCATATGTAACAGCTTCAGTTTGATATTCTACACCCTTTTGAATAATTGATAAAAACGCAAGTTGGTGAAGCTTAAATTCAAGAGCAGAACTCTATAACAATAAAACCGTGTGTATTAAAATAAAACTATTATCTTATTTAAAATTTAATTTTTCATCATTGATTTAATTATTTTATTCCTTTACAAACCTTATAAAATTGYTGCATTATTTTCTTTGCCAATTCCATTCTCTTGATCTTTTTTGTCTTTGGCCTTGGTTTCATTATGCCACCAGAAAATTTAGTTCTTTTTGCATGATATGGAATACGAATCGGCAAATTTGAAGCCGATGAAATCCTTTTAACCAATGGGTATGGAGGGTACATCTAAAACAAAATGAAAAATGTTCATATTAGTCAATATRTCAATATTAAATGTAAAATATTGTAAAAGAGGTTAAGATACAGGTTTTCTATTATTAGTTTTGTATCAATCAATGGCTTACAGTGATATTTGAAACTTCATCAGAAAAACAATAATTTGAATTGAAGCTATCTTTTTTTTTAATTCGTAGGAAATGAGTAAAAATAATTAAAAATGACCTATCATGTAAAAAAAGCCAGAAAATGTAAAATAAAAATGAATTGTCTAGATTTGCATGTTATTGAAACACATTTTTAGCTAAGAAAACATCATCTAAGAAATTTAAAAAAAAACTGTAAAATGCATTAACTTCTGAGCCATTGTTTGTAAAACTCTCTAATATAAAATAACAAATYGATAAAAAATATAATTCCTTAGTTACTWAACAATTAATAAAAATAATAAAAATAGCTTAATTTCCAAGTAAAGAAAAAGCTCATTACATCATTGTTTGTAAAGTTCTTAAAACTATTTTAATCTATTACTTATAATATATTAGAAAATTGAATGAAATAAAAATATTATCACAATTTAAAATGCTTATTAGTGTATTACATTTAGGRAACCTATTTTTACAACCCTAAGTTATACATTTAAATCAACATTTAATTAAATTGTATATTTACCTGAGTATCTAACACTGCACGATTTTCTTTTGCCCATTCTAAAGCTGGGTTAATATTTTTTTTGATTAATGACTCTTTGATGTGTTTCAATTTAGCAAATGGTTCTCTTATGCTAGGCTCCATGACTATTCCAGATTCCTATAAAAAATTGTTATTTGTAAATATTTAAAGAAAAGTATAACTTTTTTTTGCAATTACAAATGTATTTCTTAAATTCGCAAAAAAAGATGTTAACAGACTTATCTTTTAAAAGTAATTAACCGAACTAAATWAATGTAAAATTATAATTTGTATTAACTAACCATTACAAGTTCATCAGCAATATCCAAGTTTCCTTGTCTATAAAAATGTTGACAAATAATATAGTTTAGAAATGTAACATTTTTTGGATCATCAAAAATATCCTCTTTACAAGTTGCGTTAAAATCTGATACAAAATTCTGTAAATAAAGTAAATATACAAATATTTTTATTATTAGTAAAATCATGAATAATCTAAATTAGATTAAATCATACTCTGTCAATTGCTTTTCCCACTTTTGATACAGTACTATGAAGTTCTCGGTGTTCAATAGCTAATTGTTGTGTTTTTTCTTTTGATTTATTAATTAAATTTGATATTTCATTAATTGATGACTTTTTATTTTCTAAAAAAGAAATTAGATTAAAAATACATTATTACTGCATTTATTGCTYAGCAAGTAAAAAGATTAATTAAATGCAATAAGTTTTTCTATAATTTTTCATTTTAATGCAATTATTTAAGATTTAATTTTTTTACTTGAAAGTACAATTTATTATTAAATAATGTATTGCATTTTCRAAGTAAAATTCAAATATTAATTTGTTGGTCATAATAAATAACATTAGCTTTTAAAATGATATATCAGTATCACTTTTTTTGTAAACATGATTCTTTCATGGAATAATCATTTTATATTTAGCTTAATTAAACATTCAATATAATAATTCAGTATAAYGTTCATACTAGCTTAATACAAAAATGTGTATTATTAATACATGACTTAAATATAATAAATACATAATTATAACATTAAATTTAAAAAAGAAGTATYGCATTAAAATAAATTTGTTCTAATTATGAATATAAATTATAATATACAGAATCTTTATTTATTATATTGAATATATACAAATGTATGCCGATCAAATTAATTTAAAAACTAATCTTTAAGAAATTTGATTGTTTATCAGTTTAAATTTTAAAAAGCTACCTATCTACTGTAGGTGTTTACCACATTCATAGGCGAAACTACGGGTCAGGCCACTAAGGCCATGGCCTGACCTAATACTAACTGGATAATATACTGACATAATAAAATTTAAATTTAAAAAAACTTATTTTATAATAAGAATTTTTTTCATAATTCTCATTTGGCCTGTCTTTATACAAATTTCTAGTTTCGCCTATGCCCACATTTGTATTGTATCTGACATTTATTGTGAWTAATTATTGATGGTTAAATTCTTACCGTCTTTAATAGCATTTGTTTGCCAATCATTTTGTATTTTTTCCAGGCTATCAATCAATTGCTGCAATACAACATTATAACTTTTACTCATGTCTTCAAACCTCGACAATACTTTGTCGACCTCACGATCAACAGCTAAGCACGCATCCATTTCTAGAACCTTTAAGTATTAAATATGCAGTTAATATGTACGAATTATAAATTCAAGGAAATAACGGTTTTTTATTATTTTAAAATATAAATGCATGCATAAAAATATGTTTTGTTGAATTGAGTATAAAAATKATACAATTATAAATAGGTACCTTGATTCTGAATACCACTGTCCGAATATGAAAATTGTTACAACAGCAATATATACTTTTGCTAGACAAGATAATAGTCTACTTAAATGATTATAGATTTAAGGCGAAAATGTTCATCAACTATTACGCTTTGAAATATTTTATGATTGCATTTACAATGTTTGACGCGAAATAAAACGTATATAAATGGAGAACTCCGATGAAATATTCAAACTTTTCCCCTTCTATTCAGATTATGCTAATACGGCGTTAAAAAAATATTATCTGTTCAACGTTCGGAATAAATGGCAATACAATAGAATAGTACCATACTATCTATTTAATTAATTATAATTATAAGCATATTAAATCAGCGATTAAAGCAATAATTGACAGTCGACAATCCCTCCGGCACCCGTCCAGCAGTACAAAATTATTATACTCAATATAATCGTTACGGTTTTCAATGTTTTCATCAATATTTCCATGAGTTCATGGACAAGCAGGCCAACGACAGAGAACGAATCATGATTTGTAGTATTATAGAATATACTATATAGAATATGTACACAACTACCAAGTGCGAAGTGCCAAAGACATTGTTGTTTGTTCAACGATGTTATCTCTTATCTGTGTTGAAGGTGTGTGGCATGCATATATTGCATAGACATTATATTATTATATTATTATCTATGGTGGCACGCATAATATTTTAGTATAACATACAGAATGTGGCATAAAGTTATCTCTTGCATCTTGCCGCCCTCTTGCCTCTTGGTAAGTTGGTCGTTGAGGTTTGGAACCTTCAGGATCATTAGGACCTTGGGTGGAGGAGGGAGCATAGTTGAAATGATACGTAATGGTGTAATACGTATTTAATATTTATATAATTATTTAAATCATGGATGGATCTGTGGAGGTACATTAATAGTATTCATCAAGGACATATAATATACTGTATACTATAGAGACTAGACTAGGCTCTYATACATTAGTACAGGAGTAACCAATTAATACTTTTCGAGAGTCACATTAGTAGGAATATTGAAATTGTTCGTAGGCTATCAAAATTACAAACGTGTCGGTAATAAGTAATAAATAATGAGCTTAATTAATAAATTACATTACGGCACAACCACAAAACGTGTACTATACGGTTATTACTTTTTTCTCTGCGGGCTGGATAAAATTTGTCAACGGATCCTATGTGATCCGTAAGTATTTGGTGACTCAGTAAATGATTGTAGGTCTTGGGGAATATTTACCAGGACCCATAGTCTATAAATTATAATAGGTAACAATTCAATAGAAAATTATAATTTTATTTTTATTTCGTCTTGCAGTTGTAATTTAGTAATTATTTCGAGCGTTTTTGGTAGAAAAGTATATTATGTAGTAGATATTTTTAGGTTTTTGAAATTTAAAATCTTTACTACTTTTTGAAATAGCCGGGGGGAAAAAAATGTCAAAATTATTATGTAATCTTGGTTACACTTTACACATTCCTCTCTTAGATTGTCTGATAAATTTAATCTATTTTTTAGATAAACGCATAAACGTTAGATGGATTACCCCTTCAGTCAATACAAAAAAACTGTTTTTAAAAATAAATCACAATTAGGTATACATAATAAAATAATTTACATTGATAATTTCAAACATATTTTATTAAATCTATAATAGCCAAATACCATTCATCCATCGTTTTTTMTCAAAAACAGCAAAACGTCAGAACTTAGAATTCGTAATAGTGGTTAGGTTTTTAAGTCATTGATCATTTTGTGTGGTGGGTGTGTACAAAATAATAAACTTTAGAAGTGTAAACTGTAAAGTATCCTTGAACCATATATAATATTTTTAAATTTCAACAAAATAGCTAAAAAATGTATTATTTATTGAAATATTAAATTTTGTCCAAATTTGAAATTAAAATATCAATAAACAAAAATTAGTTACTATTATTATATATTWTTTGTATTTATTATTATTTTAATATACCTATCAATTATCATAAACAATTCCTTAATATTATTATTTATTAAGAGGCTATAGAGCTCTCTTAGCCCACCATCCCCCCCTATTCTTCGCCAATAATTTTACCTATATAAGTCTGCATATAGTAAGTACCTAACTTTTTCTGTTATTAAATTTAAACTGTTAATATTTATACCATAACTTTTTTTTAAGCTTAAATATCATAGTTTTTTTTTCTTTTTTTGTATAACTAGGCTGTTTATTAATTAACATGCTATGAGGATAGATATTATGATCATTGGTTCTGTTACTACATTCTATATATATTGAAAAAATGCATAGTAAATGTATAATTATAATGTATAACTTATATAAGAACATATTTGTTGCTAAAAAAATTTGTAATACATGTGATAATAGTTATATTAAATAATAAAATTACCTATGTTTAAACGTTTTGGACCAAAACTTTTGGTTCTCTTTTATAAAGCAGAGCTTTTACAAAAAAAGAGATTTTTTTTAATAGTACTTGATAATTCAATTTATGTAATTGATTAAAAAAACTAAAAATTAAGAAAATGTAAAATAGAATAAAACTAAAATTATTAATTTCAACACATAATCATACAATTGTATGATAAATGAAAAAGATTTGACATGTATCTTAAAATGTCTGCATGTATTGTATTTTTAAAATGTTTAATTGGATTTTTAAAGTTTTAAAAACTAACCAACCAAACCTATCCTACATTAATTGGACTACATTTTCCAAAAGTAGTAGAACAGAAAACGGATTTAAAACTAGACTTTTTTTTACTCTTAGTATTATAATAATAAATTACCATAACATACAATATTTTAATAAAAAAAGTTCATAATATAAAATAAAATTGATAAATACATTTAGCCATTCTTATGATTTTTTTGTTATGGGTGTTGTAAGATCTTTTATGTATATTACGATCTACATTAGAAAAAATWTACATTCATAGAACATCACTTTAGTATCAAATGGTTAACATTTTAATTTCAATAAAACTAAAAATAACTTGTAAAATATTTAAAAACATTTCTTTTTTTTTGCACATTTTGTAATTAATTATGTATTATGTAATTATAAATACCTATACTTTATTTTATTTTTAAATTATCAAACATTAACCAAAAACTATTCATTTAATATTTCTAAAATTTTTTATACTGGAATGAAAACTTTATTTTTTTGTAGGAAGCATATCTTTTTCTTATATAAATTCTCGAGTAAGAATTTTTTGTTTTATATAAACTTCGGTTAGGTATGTTTGAGTAAATGTTGTCAATGACTCAATTTCTGATTTTCTGTCTAGTTGGTGTAACATTAATACCTAAACAATACATTATTCATAATTTGTCAATCATGTGATTATTCCAGGAAATGTATAATAAATAAATTGTACATTGACAATTTTAGCTATATAAGAGTAAAAGTGTAGGATTGAACTCAGAAAAAAACAATAAAAGGTTTTTATATTGAAATTTTATTGATTAATAACCTATATGTAATAAAAATACAGATTTTAAAAATTGAATGCTCGATTACTATATTTTAAATTTTTTTCTTTGTTCTATTCATAAGTTACTGGATGATCCTTTTAGATCATTTTAGTGCATCAAAATTTAAATTAAGTTTAAACATTATCAATAAATTATAAATTGTTATATAAATTATGTATTAAGAATTAAAATTCTCTATCACTGAGAATTAAAGGATCTGAACACAACACCATTAACTAGTAACTATAATATACCATTATTATAGGAACAACTACATTAGATTGTCATATTTTTACATTGTATAATGAATGTGTCTATTTTTAAACACTAACACAATAAACTGTATTATCCACATGTGTATTTATGCAATAATTATAACCAATGTTCATATACCTAGCATTTACCTAAACTAAACAGTAGACCCTAGCTAATCCCTGCTATGACATTATTTAATTTTAGTGATACTTACCTGTTGCAAAAGCTTATAATTAGTGTTTATATAAGATCTTTTTAAAAGAGATTTCAATCGGTCTTTATCCAAATTTGTTAATGCTATACTTGGTAAATTGAGTGATTCTATTTCTGTAGGATAAATTCCTAGCCACTTAATTGATGGCACACAAAGCATTTCGTTTTGATGAACCATTGACTAAAAAATAAAAATTAACAAATTATAATAAGCAAATAATAATAATATAATAAGCAAAATTAAATACTTATATTTTTTTCCCTCAACATTTATTAGTTAATGTACATATTGTTTTATATAGTAAATATGGTAGTTACTTATTTCTTACATTGGAGCCAAATCTGTAAACACACATGATTTCTATACCAAAAGGATTTGCATCCACTAAGACTAATATTGGTATATTTAATTTACAAGACAACTGTTTCACAAACAACCGGGTATTAATATCAGGAAATCCTTTACCCTAAAAAATATTTCAATGTAGGTAGTTAATTTAATGGTTTTTAAAAATAAATAAAATCTATTCAATAATTATAAAATTTAAATGTCCATAGCTATAAGCCTATATTTAACTTACAGTTATCATAACAAATGTACATTTATTTTTTTTCAATAGCCCTTCATTGATAATTTTTTGAAATGATGCATTTTTTTCAATTATTAAGATGTATTTTGCTTTTGATTTGAAATTGTCTATTTCTAAAATATCCTGAGGTATTTGTATACCTAAAACCATAAAATAATAAGCACCCGTAATATGTGATAGATACCTACTTAAAAAATATAGATTATTTTTAAGTTCTGAACAAAAAGTTACAAAGAATGCCCGAGTGTATGAGAGTAAATGGTAAGTGGTAACCACAAATAAATTATCATAAAATCAGCCATTTATCAAAATTCAATAACAATAAGTACCTAGTATTCAGCATCCCAGCTACATAGGTCTATTTTATAATAGAAAAAAATACCCTGCTAGCTTTTAGTTGCTACTAACTGAATTGATATTATAACTATCTATTAATTCCTTATTTTTGTTTTGTTATAGAAATAAAATATTAAAATGTTAAAAAATAAATTTAAAAGATTAAGAATTCAAACTTTACCTTCGATAGTATCTGAGCAATCAAGAATTTTTCCATTAGACATATAAATCTTTAGATTTCCTGCTACTAAACCACTAGAAGTTAATGTAATACCTAGTTCCCAAGATTTTGCACCTAATAAACAACATATATCTATAAGAGCCTTTCTTACAATATAACTATGTTTGAATAGAATTGTGTCTCCGTAGTAAAGTTCTCTGAAATAATTGAAATTGCAATTAAATAAAATATAAAATATAATATTTAAAAATAATAACACTGCTCTATAGTCTATATTTCAGAATATTTATATACTTTTTTTTTATACCTAGGTAATAATTTATACTAAAGACTTAACATAGGCACTATATATATTTTAAGACTTTATTGTATACATTCTACTGAAAACTATACTATTAGATAATTGTAGGCTAGCTGCTTTGAGGCAGTGAGACACATAGCAAACTCGTACTTACTAAATTATGTTCATTTGCTACACATATACAGCTAAATATAATATAATATTAATATAGTGAGATTCATAAAAATCATTTT